AGACTTTAAGTGATGCACATTTTTTTAATACGTCTCAAAAAGAATATTATGTTTATATATTTAGAAATAATTGACACATTGGGAAGTGACTCTAATATTAACAATTACTCTTTTTATTCCTTTCTATCTCCATCTACTTCTCCTACTTAGTGAAATTTGCAAATAAAACTTAATTTTTTTTTCTAGTTAGGCATTATTCTAATTATGTTTCTTTTAGCTTTAATAGGGATGCTAAAAAGGTGATGGTAATTAGAATGACTAAAATATTAGAAAGTTTTTAAGGCGTGACTATGAGTGCACTAAGAACTAGGTCACGCCAAATTGTCTCTTTATGTATTCTAATATAAAATGACATTTGTTGTTTTTAAGTACTTTTCTGATTTTATATTTGTATAATCATAAATCATTTCATTAGGGGAATGAAACGAAACGGAAACAAAATATTTTTAGCTATTGAATGGAAGAGGGAACACAAGTCCCACAAAGAGATTACAAATTCGATGGTGTCAATTGGGATCCGTGGATTGTTTCTCTCTTATGAAGCGTTTGACCTAATAGGTTTCATATTAGGTTACTTTGAACTTGGTTGATTTGTCTAGTCGATATTTTATAATACAATCATTTAATTTTAGAGGTTGACCTTATATAATCTAACTTGATGAGACATACTTGTGCAATTTTTTTGACCTAAAACTCTATATAGATCAGTCAATGAAGTCTAAAATAAAAAAGAAAAGTTATCATATAAATCAAATGAAGAGAGTAAAAAATAATTATTAATAATGTTTGGAGCACATAATTTGTTATACTACTACAACATAACTTAGAGTGTATGTAAATCCACTTTTGGAGTCTGAAAAAGATAGGTAAACCTAACCTTTATCACTATCACGAAGATAAAAAGGTTATTTTAGATCCTCAACTCGAAATAATATGACTTGTCAATTTTCATATAACATGTTAAAAAATACGGAAAATAATGATAAAAAACTTTACACTAACACAAGTAAAATACAATTTTGGTGTTGGGAATGAGAAGGTGCATGTGAAGAGGGGTGGACCAAAAGAAATACTAGAATAGAGTCAAAATTTATATCTCTATTTTTCATGTTAAAAAGGGACCCTCATTTGTTAATATTTATTGAAAAATACAAAAAAGCTTGAAAAAAGAGAAACCTGTGAGATCTTTTGTATTTTTAGTAAAGGACTATTTATGTTAGTCTCGATGCATGGCAATGAACCCAATGAAACAAAAAATCTACAACTAGATTCTTCTCTAAACTAAAATATAATCAAATTTAGGACCGGAACTAGTATAGAAAATACGAATTCGATATAATTTAATAATTTTAGTCTAAGCTTTTATCCGACCCAAGCCCAATTGTATTTATACTTTCAATAATTATGTATTTTTTTTTATCATTAATTAAAAATTTTCTACCATATATTGAAGAAGATACACCTAGATATTTATTTATTTGCTACCAGATACACTAAAAGAGAGAGAGAACGAGAGAGAGAGAGGGGGGGGGGGGGGGGGGGGGG